TATTAGATCTCAGTGCTGCGTTTGACACTGTTGACCACAGCATATTACTAGACCGACTGGAAAACTGGGTGGGACTTTCGGAAACAGTTCTAAATTGGTTTGAATCCTACTTAAAGGACAGAAACAACTTTGTTTCTATAGGTAAATACACATCTGAGTTGACAAATATCACATGTGGGGTTCCTCAAGGCTCCATCTTGGGGCCTCTTCTCTTTAACGTCTACATGCTACCACTGGCTCAGATAATGAAGAACAACAAAATAACTTACCATAGCTATGCAGATGACACACAAATGTACGTAACAATTTCACCAGGAGACTATGCTCCAATTCAAACACTGAGTAAGTGCATTGAACACATCAATGACTGGATGTGTCAGAACTTTCTCCAATTAAACAAAGATAAAACTGAGGTAATGGTTTTTGGAGCCAAGGCAGAACGTATAAAAGTTAGCGCTGAGCTTCAGTCTGCAATGTTCAAAACAACAGATAGAGCCAGAAATCTAGGTGTAGTCATGGACTCTGACCTGAGTTTCAACAGTCACATTAAAACTGTTACTAAATCAGCCTACTATCACCTAAAGAATATATCTAGGATTAAAAGACTAATGTCACAGCAGGATTTGGAAAGACTTGTCCATGCTTTTATCTTCAGTAGACTCGACTACTGCAATGGTGTCTTCACAGGTCTCACTAAAACATCTATTAGGAAGCTGCAGCTGATTCAGAACACTGCTGCTCGAGTCCTCACTAACACTAAGAAAGTGGATCACATCACTCCAGTTCTGAAGTCTTTACACTGGCTTCCTGTGTGTCAAATAATAGATTTCTAAATACTGCTGCTGGTTTATAAAGCACTGAATGGTTTAGGCCCAAAATACATTTCTGACCTCCTGCTAAATGATGAACCATCCAGATCTCTCAGGTCTTCAGGGACTGGTCAGCTTTCTGTCCCCAGAGTCAGAACTAAATATGGAGAAGCAGCGTTCAGTTATTATGCTCCAAATATCTGGAACAAACTCCCAGAAACCTGCAGGTCCGCTGCAACTCTGACTACTTTTAAATCCAGGCTGAAGACTTTTCTTTTTGTCGCTGCTTTTAATTGAACTATTCATATCTTAGACGGCACTGTAACTTTGATCCATGTACTTTTTCTTTTAATGTTTATTTTATTATCTTTTCTTTTTAATGACTGATTTTAAATGCCATTTTCTAAATGTCTTTCATCTTTTGTAAAGCACTTTGAATTGCCTTGTGTTGAACAGTGCTATATAAATAAACTTGCCTTGCCTTGCCTTACTGTATTTTTTAAGTATTAAGTTACATTACAATATTGCTGTCTCTGAAATGTAATGAGTTACACTACTTTTATATTACTTTTGAGTTAGTTTCACCAAAAATAACCGTAAAATAATGGCTAGGTATTTTAAATGCTAAAATGTAGTTTAGTGCAGCAACTGTGTAGGCCCTTAAGGCTACTAACAACTTGTATTACCAGGCTTAGTTGAATACTCAATTCTGATTGGTCAATTCAAAACATGTGACACGTCGTTAATACATTAGTACAGACCGCTGTCAGGGACTGTAAAGACCGTTGCTAAGGAGGATCAAGAAAGAGAAAGGAAAAGAGGTTAAAAGACGGAGCGCTGGATGTCAGATAAATGAACAGAAGAAGACAGACATGAAGTGAAAACTAACAGGAACAGAACACGGTATGGGCTCTGCGGTGTTTAAGGACTTGTTAGTGGATCAGAAACTGTAAACCGATTTGGACAGTGCTTTTTTTTTTTTATTTCCTTAAAGTTGCTGTTGTCGCAGTTCTAGCCGTTTGTGCACCGAACAGACTTAATTGTTTTCTTAGCGGAAGAAATACGATAATTTTAAGTCAATAAAATCATTTAAATTAATATTGGGAGTCAATTCCTTAGTTTATTTAGTATCTGGCTGTGTAATATGGGGCGGAGTGGTGCAGTGAGCTGTGCGTTTGATCATCAGATCAAGGGGGCGTTGGGAAACTCCAGTCGAAACCCGCTCCCGCCGCAACTGCGTCAGGCCCTTGTGTCCTTGGGCAGCACCAGAATTTGCTCCTGTGGGTATTATCCACAGTACTTGTATGATATTAATGTGTACTTGTAAAGCGCCTTGACGACTTTGAGGTGTGAAGATGGGCGGTGTGGCGCAGTGGGCTGTGTATTGATCATCAGATCAAGGGGGCGAAACCCTGGGGGGTTGTCCTTGGGCAAGACACTTCTCAGTCTCAGGACTGGCCAGTAGTCTCAGGACCGGCCAGTAGTCTTAGGAACCACGCCTAGTCTGCTCCACCTGTTAAACATCTGCTCAAAGATAGTTAGTCCACCTGTCAGAGACTCTATGACTCAGCCTATCATAACAACCTAGTGAGGCTGTCCAACAACATCATCTCCGACCCAAACCATGTTCTGAACAGTGAATATGAACTGCTACCATCTAATCGGAGATACAGAGTCCCATGATGCAATAAAGACAGACTGAAGCATCCTTTGTGCATCAGTCAGTCCTCTCAGTGAACACAGAGCTGATCCCAGATCAGATGCACGCTGAAGGCTCTGAGCAGCTTTTCTCTCACTGATTGTGCTGTTTGTTGTTTGTGTTTCATGTATTTGTGTCTGGATATTTGTCTGTTGATGTTGGACATGGAGCTGCTGTTAAAGTAATATCGTATCAGATCGAATAGTCTCAGGAACGACCCCTAGACTCAGGACCGGCATCTAGACTCAGGACCGACCCCTTGTCTCAGGAATGACCCCTAGTCTCAGGAATGACCCCTAGTCTCAGGACCAGCCCCTAGTCTGAGGAACGACCCCTAGTCTCAGGAATTAACCCTAGTCTCAGGAACGACCCCTAGTCTCAGGACCGACCCCTAGTATCTGGACCGACCCCTAGTCTGGTTAGACCCTCCTAATTTCATTACATTCTGCTTGCATTATGTAATGACAATAAAGTAATCTAATCTAATCTAGTCTCAGGACCGACCCCTAGTCTCAGGAACGACCCCTAGTCTCAGGACCAACCCCTAGTCTCAGGACCAGCCCCTAGTCTCAGGAATGACCCCTAGTCTCAGGACCAGCCCCTAGTCTCAGGACCAGCCCCTAGTCTCAGGAATGACCCCTAGTCTCAGGACCATCCCCTATTCTCAGGACTGGCCAGTAGTCTCAGGACCAGCCCCTAGTCTGAGGAACGACCCCTAGTCTCAGGAATTAACCCTAGTCTCAGGAACGACCCCTAGTCTCAGGACCGAACCCTAGTATCAGGACCGACCCCTAGTCTGGTTAGACCCTCCTAATTTCATTACATTCTGCTTGCATTATGTAATGACAATAAAGTAATCTAATCTAATCTAGTCTCAGGACCGACCCCTAGTCTCAGGACCGACCCCTAGTCTCAGGACCGACCCCTAGTCTGGTTAGACCCTCCTAATTTCATTACATTCTGCTTGTATTATGTAATGAGAATAAAGTAATCTAATCTAATCTAGTCACAGGAATAACCCCTAGTCTCAGGAACGACCCCTGGTCTGTATAGCCATCACCAGATTTTAGCACTCAGAAAATGCACCAATGAAGAGCTGTTTAGATCATCACAGGAAGTAAAGCATCAGTCTTCCTTCAGAGCGTTCGGACAGCAGACATTAATAAACATGAGCTTGAATCGGAGTTCGATGATGAGGTGATGCTGTCTGGAAGAGGTTAAAAGAGGTCGCACCGCTCACTAGGGGTGTTGAAAATAATCGTTTCTGCGATGCGGACGTGGACGATTCGGTCTCGATGCAGTGACGGAAGATAATCGGTTATAGCGTAGTAACGTTGCTTCCTGATTTTCCGGCCGCGGCTTTACTATAACGTTTTTTTTTCTGTCACTTTAATATCAAATCGGTCGGTGACGCAGAGATCAGGGAACAGACGTGACAGCGGCACAGCAACACCAAACACGGAGCAGTCTGCTTTATCCACCAACACAAGAACACTAGTCCAGAACCAACAGCAGAAGGACCCGCTCTGAATCACTCCGTGTCGCTGCGGCTCAGAGACACAGGGATTTATGTTTTTCAAAAATAATCGCGTTACAATCATGTCAGGTTTTTGGTGGATTTAATTAAGTCTTGGATTGCAGAGTATGAATGTCCTCTAGCAATTTTCAGACGATATATACGTGTGTAAAGTTTGTGAAGGCAGGAGGAAAAAAGCTCCCGCGATCACCGTCTCCTCTGTTCCTCTAAGCCCCGCCCCCTCCCTGAAAATAATGAGTGACAGGCTGATAGTGACCTGATAGACACTTTATTATTCACTTAATCACTGAGATATAATGAAGCTAACTTAATCTCATACATTCATGGGATTTATGTAACAGTAAGACAGAGAATGTGAGTCTGCACCCACATGCAGTATTTTAATAGTTATGCTGTTGTAAATACTCCTGTTGTCTGCTGTGTTCAGACTCAAGTCCTGTGTGTGATGCCACATTCAGGACATTCAGTGTCCTTTCTTTAACAGAAGGCCGTTGCTAGAAGCTGCAGCTAGACTGCAGAAGCATTATTTATAGAGGCTAGACCTATACAATTCATTTATTTTGGTTCATAAATGAATGTCAAGACATTTATGTTATTGATTTCTGAAGCACTTTCTAAATAATAAAAAGAGAGTTCATATGTATTTACTGCATGTATGCATTGATGAAAAATAAGCCATGTGCAGTAATATAGAAAATTGAGGATGCAACGCATTGGTATGAATCGTGATGCATCGGGATATCGAATTTAATCGTTGACAGGATAATCGTAATCGAATCGAATCGTGAGACCAGTGAAGATGCACAGCCCTACCGCTCAGTGAGAGGAAGGGTCCGATTGCAGATGGATTGTGGTGTTTTCCAGGATAATGAATCTGTTTAGGGTCTGTGTGCTCATATCTCACACTGTGTTTAAAGAGTGCTTCATATTTACAGATGTATGAGAGAACGCAATAATGGTTTCTGACCACAGGAGGACCATAGTGAACTCTATGCATGTTTCATATTTTATACTGAGTGTCTACTGGTTTTTAATTACTTGTTCTTCACGATTGTCATGTGTTTATATGTGTGTATTTTAGGTGCCAACACGTCTCTGATTGTGGTTATCTGTGTGAACAGGAGCTTACATGAACCTATGTACCTTTTTCTGTGCAGCCTGTTTGTAAATGAACTGTATGGTAGTACAGGGTTGTTTCCATCCCTTCTGGTTCAGATCCTCTCTGACATTCACACTGTCTCTGCTCCGCTCTGCTTCCTGCAGGTTTATTCTGTGTATTCTTATGTGTGTGTGGAATATTTAAACTTAACCGTCATGTCTTATGACAGATATCTTGCTATCTGTTATCCTCTGCAATATAACACACGTATGACTTCTAGGAGGGTCGCCTCTCTTGTTGCTGTGTCGTGGTTTTACTCGCTGTTAATCTGTGTTGTCATGATAGCCCTGACTGTGTCTCTGCAGCTGTGTGGGAATATCGTTAATACTGTGTACTGTGGGAACTACTCCATTGTTAAACTGGCCTGCTCTGACATTACTGTTATTAATATTTGTGGACTCTTTGTGAGTCTTTGCACGTTATTCGTTCCTCTGATTTTAATCCTCTACACGTACATGAGGATCTTCAGAGTGTGTTTCTCTGGTTGTAAGCAGAGCAGACCGAAAGCTGTCAGTACCTGCACACCTCACCTTGTTTCCCTCCTCAACTTCTCTTTTGGCTGCGGCTTTGAAATACTTCAGAGTAGATTTGATATGAGCGGTGTTCCAACCAAGTTCCGCACCTTATTATCGTTATACTTCCTCACGTGCCAGCCTCTCCTCAACGCTGTGATGTACGGCCTGACATTTTCCAAAATCCGTGTTGTTGTGAGAAGTGTGGTGTCAGAGGTCAGAGGTCAGAGGTCAGAGGTCAGAGGTCAGAGGTCAGAGGTCAGAGGTCAGAGGTCGGCCTTTAACGGGAGGTGATTGTGAACTGAGTGATGAATAAACCCCGTCTGGATGCACCTGAATCCACCTGTCCCGTTTCTTCTTGATCTGAGAGTTGTCGGCAGGATGTAGAAAATACAAGACAGCGTTTGATTGTTATAATTATCATTAATAGCTTGAGTGTGAGGTTTATGTATGCATACAATGCAAGGTTATTACACGAGCGTGTGTATGAATGTAAGAGGGTGATCAGAGAATATGGATAGGTTTGAATACCTGTAAAGATCGATGTGTATATTATAAGATTTACATTTATTACAGTTTATTATACCACATAAGGAACCCTAACTGTGCATTGTGTGATGGCCCTTTAATAACAGGTGTGCACTAAAATACCTGACCATTCAATTGTGTATATTGCAATATCTAAGTACAATTAAAGAAATGTACGTTGAAAACATGATAGATGTTGGCAATGTTTGTGTGTGTGTGTGTGTGAGTGTGTGTGTGTGTATGTGAGTGTGTGTGTGTGTGTGTGTGTGTGTGTGTGTGTGTGTGTGAGTGTGTGTGTGTGTGTGTGTGTGTGTGTGTGTGTGTGTGTGTGTGTGTGTGTGTGTGTGTGTGAGTGTGTGTGTGTGTGTGTGTATGTGTGTGTGTGTGTGTGTGTGTGTGTGTGCGTGTGTGTGTGTGTGTGTGTGTGTGTGTGTGTGTGTGAGTGTGTGTGTGTGTGTGTGTGTGTGTGTGTGTGTGTGTGTGTGGGTGTGTGTGTGTGTGTGTTGTGTGTGTGTGTGTGTGAGTGTGTTGTGTGTGTGTGTGTGTGTGTGTGTGTGTGTGTGTGTGTGTGTGTGTGTGTGTGTGTGTGTGTGTGTGTTTACATCAGTAATCACGGAGACTCTTCCCACGATGCAGTGCTTGCTAATTAGCCCGTTAGAGGAGCTCGTTAGTGTCCGAGTGGCCACACAGACCCTCGGGGGGCGCACAGGGTTTGTTAGTGTTAGTGACATGACAACCAGAGGGCACCTGGGGGGGGGGGAGTGGCTTAATGGCTGTAAACACATACTGAGCGGCCAGAAAAACGACCACACAGAAAGTTTAACCACTAAAAACCAAACAGTGTATAATATGTGGAAAATATAAACAAAAACTCTTTAATAAGTCAAGAAATATGAAAAAGACTTTGAATAGCATCTCGAAAAATATGAAAAAAGTCAAAAATATTTGAAAAAGGTAATAGAATATTAAATCAAAAATAGATTGGAACTTCCAGCTCTGATCTCTTCCTATAGAAACATCAGCTCTATTTTAACAACTAAAACAGTTCGTGAGCTCTGAAACAACTGCCTCGTTTTTATTTCCACCGGTTTTAACTTTCTGCAGAAACATTATATAATTGGAAATCAGAAGAAATGTTTTATGAGAGTTTTCCATAAACACATACATGAACATAATAAAACTAATATTAACTAATAATGTTTGCAGCCATCTCTCATGACACTGTGACTTAAATATAAAAGTATTTATAAAGATATGTTTTGGAACGTGTTCTTATAATATTTTAAATTCATTGTTTGACGAATAGACAATCAATAAAGGGTCTGTGAGCGGGATTTAAAAATGAATATTAGAAATGTTAAGAAATAAAAAGCAGGGTATAAAGATTTCACAGAGTGGTGTCAGCGCCCTCTGGTGGAGACATTTAATATGATTATTTCACAGAATTATTAATAAACTGTATTTATTTACTTTAAGTAAAATATATTATTATTTTCTTGTTTATCCCTCTTTAGATTTGATTTATTTGTATTTATTATTCCTCCTTTATTTGATATTTCTTATTAGTTCATGACTTCATCCATATTTATACAACTTTAGATAACTTCTTTATCCTCCAATGTATTCCTATTTTTCTATCATTTATTAAATTGAATAAAATACACATTTACATTTGATTTTGTTTTGTGATTATTCACACTTTTTGACCCTATTGTGATTTAAATACATGTATTTGTTCTACTTCTTGATGGCTTGGTCATTGGTCCCACAGCGGGGACATTCCCAGTGTTACAGCAACAGTCAGGTAGAAAAATAAAAAGGGACATGAAATAATGAAAAGGTAAAGCACACATTAGTGATAAAATAATAGTAGTAATACGTTTTATTTATACAACACGTTTTCTAGAAACTCAAAGACACTGTATAGGGTAAACACAACACACTTAAAATATATAAAACACAACATTCATCACAGATTAAAAGCAGATCTGAAAAGTTGAGTTTTGTGATATAGAATAGTAATAGTAAGACAAATCAGTAAGCAAAGTAAAATAGATGGCAAGTGACCTTTAAAGGAGGCTGTGGCTCAGGGGATTGTGATCTTCAGATCAGGGAGTTAGTGGTTCAAATCCTGCAGTCAGCATATAACTGTTTCTGATTTGAGTGAATCGTACGCAGGGATTGATCCAGACAAGATCGTTGTTTCTGTGCATTTATTACATGATCAAATATCACCAAAATATCATTGAACCTGTTCCTCTTGCCCTGTGCCCACGGACTGAGGGGGCTGCAGCACCCCCATCTGTTGATCATTGCCCTGTGCCCACGGACTGAGGGGGCTGCAGCACCCCCATCTGTTGATCATTGCCCTGTGCCCACGGACTGAGGGGGCTGCAGCACCCCCATCTGTTGATCATTGCCCTGTGCCCATGGACTGAGGGGGCTGCAGCACCCCCATCTGTTGATCATTGCCCTGTGCCCATGGACTGAGGGGGCTGCAGCACCCCCATCTGTTGATCATTGCCCTGTGCCCACGGAATGAGGGGGCTGCAGCACCCCCATCTGTTGATCATTGCCCTGTGCCCACGGACTGAGGGGGCTGCAGCACCCCCATCTGTTGATCATTGCCCTGTGCCCATGGACTGAGGGGGCTGCAGCACCCCCATCTGTTGATCATTGCCCTGTGCCCATGGACTGAGGGGCTGCAGCACCCCCATCTGTTGATCATTGCCCTGTGCCCACGGACTGAGGGGGCTGCAGCACCCCCATCTGTTGGCGGAGAGTTGTAACTGCAACGCCAAAAAGTTCACTAAACAAATCAATTCAAAAGTTTTATTTTGAGTTACTATTTTTGAGTTAGTATTTTAGTGTAAGCAGTTAATAAAAAGCTTCACTAAATAATAAGAGAAAGTGAAAATGCGGTGTGCTTCTTCTGTTTCAGTGCAGACAAGATCAGGGATGGGAGTGTTGTGAGAGGAGGATTTAAGAACTGGCGAAAGGCAGGGGAAACATTTAGGGAGCATGAGAAGTCCCATCAACACACAGGCCGTCCATCTGGCAGCATTCAAACGAACACCGATGAATGTGCTGCTCTCACAAGCTGCAATATGACGTTATTATACAGGACCATCCCTGCACAGGGCCTCACAGAGACGTGGACCCTCACAGAGACGTGGACCCTCACAGAGACGTGGACCCTCACAGGGGACGTGGACCCTCACAGAGACGTGGACCCTCACAGAGACGTGGACCCTCACAGAGACGTGGACCCTCACAGAGACGTGGACCCTCACAAAAACTTGGACCCTCACAGAGACGTGGACCCTCACAGAGACGTGGACCCTCACAGAGACGTGGACCCTCACAGAGACGTGGACCCTCACAGAGACGTGGACCCTCACAGAGACATGGACCCTCACAGAGACGTGGACCCTCACAAGACTTGGACCCTCACAGAGACGTGGACCCTCACAGAGACGTGGACCCTCACAGAGACGTGGACCCTCACAGAGACGTGGACCCTCACAGAGACGTGGACCCTCACAGAGACGTGGACCCTCACAGAGACGTGGAACTGACCCTCACAGAGACGTGGACCCTCACAGAGACGTGGACCCTCACAGAGACGTGGACCCTCACAGAGACGTGGACCCTCACAGAGACGTGGACCCTCACAGAGACGTGGACCCTCACAGAGACGTGGACCCTCACAGAGACGTGGACCCTCACAGAGACGTGGACCCTCACAGAGACGTGGACCCTCACAGGGGATGTGGACCCTCACAGAGACGTGGACCCTCACAGAGACGTGGACCCTCACAGAGACGTGGACCCTCACAGAGACGTGGACCCTCACAGAGACGTGGACCCTCACAGAGACGTGGACCCTCACAGAGACGTGGACCCTCACAGAGACGTGGACCCTCACAGAGACGTGGACCCTCACAGAGACGTGGACCCTCACAGAGACGTGGACCCTCACAGAGACGTGGACCCCCACAGAGACGTGGACCCCTCACAGAGACGTGGACCCTCACAGAGGACTTGGACCCTCACAGAGACGTGGACCCTCACAAGACTTGGACCCTCACAGAGACGTGGACCCTCACAGAGACGTGGACCCTCACAGAGACGTGGACCCTCACAGAGACGTGGACCCTCACAGAGACGTGGACCCTCACAGAGACGTGGACCCTCACAGAGACGTGGACCCTCACAAAGACTTGGACCCTCACAGAGACGTGGACCCTCACAGAGACGTGGACCCTCACAGAGACGTGGACCCTCACAGAGACGTGGACCCTCACAGAGACGTGGACCCTCACAGAGACGTGGACCCTCACAGAGACGTGGACCCTCACAAAGACTTGGACCCTCACAGAGACGTGGACCCTCACAGAGACGTGGACCCTCACAAAGACTTGGACCCTCACAGAGACGTGGACCCTCACAGAGACGTGGACCCTCACAGAGACGTGGACCCTCACAGAGACGTGGACCCTCACAGAGACGTGGACCCTCACAGAGACGTGGACCCTCACAGAGACGTGGACCCTCACAGAGACGTGGACCCTCACAAAGACTTGGACCCTCACAGAGACGTGGACCCTCACAGAGACGTGGACCCTCACAGAGACGTGGACCCTCACAGAGACGTGGACCCTCACATCCCCAGATGCTGCTTCAGGTGCTCGGCTGACAGATGGAGGAACTTAGACATGTTTCTGAGTAAAGCAGATTTCTGGAACCGTCGATCTTTATCTGCTGGTTAGTAACCAAGCCTCTCTCTGCCCCGCTAGAGGAGGCTGTGGGAGTTGTAGTCTTTTATACTCCGTCTCTCTAGAGGAGGCCGTGGGAGTTGTAGTATTTTATACTCCGTCTCTCTAGAGGAGGCTGTGGGAGTTGTAGTCTTTTATACTCCGTCTCTCTAGAGGCCGTGGGAGTTGTAGTCTTTTATACTCTGTCTCTCTAGAGGAGGCCGTGGGAGTTGTAGTCTTTTATACTCCGTCTCTCTAGAGGAGGCTGTGGGAGTTGTAGTCTTTTATACTCCGTCTCTCTAGAGGAGGCCGTGGGAGTTGTAGTATTTTATACTCCGTCTCTCTAGAGGAGGCTGTGGGAGTTGTAGTCTTTTATACTCTGTCTCTCTAGAGGAGGCCGTGGGAGTTGTAGTATTTTATACTCCGTCTCTCTAGAGGAGGCTGTGGGAGTTGTAGTCTTTTATACTCTGTCTCTCTAGAGGAGGCTGTGGGAGTTGTAGTCTTTTATACTCCGTCTCTCTAGAGGCCGTGGGAGTTGTAGTATTTTATACTCCGTCTCTCTAGAGGAGGCTGTGGGAGTTGTAGTCTTTTATACTCCGTCTCTCTAGAGGAGGCCGTGGGAGTTGTAGTCTTTTATACTCTGTCTCTCTAGAGGAGGCCGTGGGAGTTGTAGTCTTTTATACTCCGTCTCTCTAGAGGAGGCTGTGGGAGTTGTAGTCTTTTATACTCCGTCTCTCTAGAGGAGGCTGTGGGAGTTGTAGTCTTTTATACTCCGTCTCTCTAGAGGAGGCCGTGGGAGTTGTAGTCTTTTATACTCCGTCTCTCTAGAGGAGGCTGTGGGAGTTGTAGTCTTTTATACTCCGTCTCTCTAGAGGCCGTGGGAGTTGTAGTCTTTTATACTCCGTCTCTCTAGAGGAGGCTGTGGGAGTTGTAGTCTTTTATACTCCGTCTCTCTAGAGGAGGCTGTGGGAGTTGTAGTCTTTTATACTCCGTCTCTCTAGAGGCCGTGGGAGTTGTAGTCTTTTATACTCTGTCTCTCTAGAGGAGGCCGTGGGAGTTGTAGTCTTTTATACTCCGTCTCTCTAGAGGAGGCTGTGGGAGTTGTAGTCTTTTATACTCCGTCTCTCTAGAGGAGGCCGTGGGAGTTGTAGTCTTTTATACTCCGTCTCTCTAGAGGAGGCCGTGGGAGTTGTAGTCTTTTATACACCGTCTCTCTAGAGGAGGCTGTGGGAGTTGTAGTCTTTTATACTCCGTCTCTCTAGAGGCCGTGGGAGTTGTAGTCTTTTATACTCTGTCTCTCTAGAGGAGGCCGTGGGAGTTGTAGTCTTTTATACTCCGTCTCTCTAGAGGAGGCTGTGGGAGTTGTAGTCTTTTATACTCCGTCTCTCTAGAGGAGGCCGTGGGAGTTGTAGTCTTTTATACTCCGTCTCTCTAGAGGAGGCTGTGGGAGTTGTAGTCTTTTATACTCTGTCTCTCTAGAGGAGGCTGTGGGAGTTGTAGTCTTTTATACTCTGTCTCTCTAGAGGAAGCTGTGGGAGTTGTAGTCTTTTATACTCCGTCTCTCCAGAGGAGGCTGTGGGAGTTGTAGTCTTTTATACTCTGTCTCTCTAGAGGAAGCTGTGGGAGTTGTAGTCTTTTATACTCCGTCTCTCCAGAGGAGGCTGTGGGAGTTGTAGTCTTTTATACTCTGTCTCTCTAGAGGCTGTGGGAGTTGTAGTCTTTTATACTCCGTCTCTCTAGAGGAGGCCGTGGGAGTTGTAGTCTTTTATACTCTGTCTCTCTAGAGGCTGTGGGAGTTGTAGTCTTTTATACTCCGTCTCTCTAGAGGAGGCTGTGGGAGTTGTAGTCTTTTATACTCCGTCTCTCTAGAGGCTGTGGGAGTTGTAGTCTTTTATACTCCGTCTCTCTAGAGGAGGCTGTGGGAGTTGTAGTCTTTTATACTCTGTCTCTCTAGAGGAGGCTGTGGGCGTTGTAGTCTTTTATACTCCGTCTCTCTAGAGGAGGCCGTGGGAGTTGTAGTCTTTTATACTCCGTCTCTCTAGAGGAGGCTGTGGGAGTTGTAGTCTTTTATACTCTGTCTCTCTAGAGGCTGTGGGAGTTGTAGTCTTTTATACTCTGTCTCTCTAGAGGAGGCTGTTGGAGTTGTAGTCTTTTATACTCTGTCTCTCTAGAGGAGGCTGTGGGAGTTGTAGTCTTTTATACTATGTCTCTCTAGAGGAGGCCGTGGGAGTTGTAGTCTTTTATACTCCGTCTCTCTAGAGGAGGCTGTGGGAGTTGTAGTCTTTTATACTCTGTCTCTCTAGAGGCTGTGGGAGTTGTAGTCTTTTATACTCCGTCTCTCTAGAGGAGGCCGTGGGAGTTGTAGTCTTTTATACTCTGTCTCTCTAGAGGAGGCTGTGGGAGTTGTAGTCTTTTATACTCCGTCTCTCTAGAGGAGGCTGTGGGAGTTGTAGTCTTTTATACTCTGTCTCTCTAGAGGAGGCTGTTGGAGTTGTAGTCTTTTATACTCTGTCTCTCTAGAGGAGGCTGTGGGAGTTGTAGTCTTTTATACTCTGTCTCTCTAGAGGAGGCCGTGGGAGTTGTAGTCTTTTATACTCCGTCTCTCTAGAGGAGGCTGTGGGAGTTGTAGTCTTTTATACTCCGTCTCTCTAGAGGAGGCCGTGGGAGTTGTAGTATTTTATACTCTGTCTCTCTAGAGGAGGCTGTGGGAGTTGTAGTCTTTTATACTCCGTCTCTCTAGAGGAGGCTGTGGGAGTTGTAGTCTTTTATACTCCGTCTCTCTAGAGGAGGCCGTGGGAGTTGTAGTCTTTTATACTCCGTCTCTCTAGAGGCCGTGGGAGTTGTAGTCTTTTATACTCCGTCTCTCTAGAGGAGGCTGTGGGAGTTGTAGTCTTTTATACTCCGTCTCTCTAGAGGCTGTGGGAGTTGTAGTCTTTTATACTCCGTCTCTCTAGAGGAGGCTGTGGGAGTTGTAGTCTTTTATACTCTGTCTCTCTAGAGGAGGCTGTGGGAGTTGTAGTCTTTTATACTCTGTCTCTCTAGAGGAGGCTGTGGGAGTTGTAGTATTGTATACTCCGTCTCTCTAGAGGAGGCCGTGGGAGTTGTAGTCTTTTATACTCCGTCTCTCTAGAGGCCGTGGGAGTTGTAGTCTTTTATACTCTGTCTCTCTAGAGGAGGCTGTTGGCGTTGTAGTCTTTTATACTCCGTCTCTCTAGAGGAGGCTGTGGGAGTTGTAGTCTTTTATACTCCGTCTCTCCAGAGGAGGCTGTGGGAGTTGTAGTCTTTTATACTCCGTCTCTCTAGAGGAGGCTGTGGGAGTTGTAGTCTTTTATACTCCGTCTCTCCAGAGGAGGCTGTGGGAGTTGTAGTATTTTATACTCCGTCTCTCTAGAGGAGGCTGTGGGAGTTGTAGTCTTTTATACTCCGTCTCTCCAGAGGAGGCTGTGGGAGTTGTAGTCTTTTATACTCCGTCTCTCTAGAGGAGGCCGTGGGAGTTGTAGTCTTTTATACTCTGTCTCTCTAGAGGAGGCTGTGGGAGTTGTAGTCTTTTATACTCCGTCTCTCCAGAGGAGGCTGTGGGAGTTGTAGTCTTTTATACTCCGTCTCTCCAGAGGAGGCTGTGGGAGTTGTAGTCTTTTATACTCCGTCTCTCTAGAGGAGGCTGTGGGAGTTGTAGTCTTTTATACTCCGTCTCTCTAGAGGAGGCTGTGGGAGTTGTAGTCTTTTATACTCCGTCTCTCTAGAGGAGGCTGTGGGAGTTGTAGTCTTTTATACTCTGTCTCTCTAGAGGAGGCTGTGGGAGTTGTAGTCTTTTATACTCC